CTGTTGAGAAATGAACAAGAGTAGACACTGAAGAGTCAGGCGGAAATATATGGCACAGGCTCTGCCTGAACCCCTCTCTGCTCCCACCTACAAGCTGCTGGAAATGTTTTATTCACGAGGCTGAGCCCAGGCTCCCCAGCCTGGCTCCACGGCAGACCCAGGACTCCCTCCGATTTCCGAGCGCACAGCCAGCACAGACAATTTTACGGTCTGACAGGCTGTTGCAGATTATATTTGGCGAGTCATTTTCTGTTTGCCAAAACTAATTAGAGATGGATAAATTTAAATGGTTGTGGAAGCCAACAATAAAACATTATGTCCTCATTAGCTGAAATAATACTGTAGCTTCCCCTCTCGTACGAAAGATCTCGACTCAGAAAATGAGGCTCCGGCTGAGTGGGGCCCCGGGGCTGATGCCCCCTGCCCCTGTCTGCTCCTGTGAGCCAACTGTGCGCATCCCTTCTCAAGTCCGTGTCCAGTGACGTCATCGCGGTGCCTTGGAATTGGTCCTGGTGGGAGTATTTACTCCTTGGAAATTGGTTGTTAAACATTTATCAGCCCACCGCTGCTCTGGCTGGTGTGGAGGGACCAGGCCCAGCTCGCCTGGAGGCTAACACACATAAACCAGGAAGTGCCAGGCATTATTTTGATTAATAAAGTATCTTTGTGGGTAGCATTTCTCCTCTCGGACCCCGAGGCTTGTGTGCATGTCTGACAGAGCTCTTTGTTTCAGGGGAAGAGAGGGACATGGGAGGGGAGGCCAGGGATGGTGGTTTCCATAGCAATCTGGGCAGGCAGCGGGGCTGGGGAGGCATTTAAAAGCAGCATTTCTCCGACTGTGAGGAGCAGGTGAATCACCTGGGCATCCTGCTAAAAAGCAGAGTCTGATTCTGTAGGTGTGAGATGAGGCCTGAGATCCTTCATGCCTAACGAGCTCCCCGGTGTCCTCAGCGCTGCCACGCACTGTTCCGAGGGTAGCAGTCGACCACGGACAGAGGACTCTGAAACTTTGAGACTCATTAATGTCAAATCCACCGAAACCCAAGGACTGGTGCTTCTGTGGCCCCAGCCTCGGCTCCAGCTCAGAGGGAGAGTGTGTGTCTTTCCCGGGAAGCACTGTGCAGGGTTGGATTGAAATCTCATCTCTACCAAATCGGAGGCCTTCGGCAAATTGTGAACCTTCTCTGAGTCTCAGTTTTCCAAGCTATGAAATGGGGCTACTGCTTCAGGGGCGGGTTGTGAGGATTAAAGGGAGGAAGCAGAGGCACTCGCGGCAGTGGGTGCTCCACAGTTGCCAGCTGCGCTCCTCTCCCCGGCCTCCTGATTGGTCCCAAGTGCCAGGTCAAACCACCTTTTTACCCCAAACGACCATTTTTTGAAATCATGAAAGTAAAAAGTTGCTTTTGGATAATTGCTAATGATTTTTTAACGTTATGAAAAAGAAAAGAAAGATGCCCATGTTCCCCCCTGCCCGGCGATTACACAGTTGACATTTTGGTATATTTCCTGCCAGACCTTTCATATGTATTTTATTTTACAAGAGAAATAGAAGATTATATTGAACCTATTGTTTTTTAACTTGCTTTTTAATTGAAGAATACACCATTGGTAGGTTTGCCTGTCTCTAGGCTGCGGTGACATTATTATTCTAGTGGCTGGACATTTAAAGCAGCCTTCTAAAGCTGTGACTGGAGACAAAATCCACCTGCTGGATTCAGTTCACCTTTTAGGAAGGGACGTGCCAGGTTGTGGGGAGCAGTGTTCTGGAGACTTCCACTTGGTTTCCACAATGCCTGGGTCTCCAAACACCTCCACGTGACCTAGCACGAAGAAGGTCAAAGGTCACAATGTCCTGGACTTCAGGAAGCCGCATCTGAATCCAGAGAGCAAACAGGAGCTCACTCTGGGGAGAACCCAAAGTAAGGTTCCGATCCAAGGACACTCCGAGGACAGAGGACGGCCAAGGAATCCGTGGTTGTGGACCTGCAGATTGAGTCACAGAATGGAAACTACTGAGTAAGGGGGAAGCCCCAGGAGGCGGGAGATAATGAACTCAGCTCTTTTCCCAGCAGGAACCCCAAATGCTGTTGCTAGTCTCCTTGAGAATGACTGTTCATGACCCTTTAATGCTGGAAGCGACTGTGGAGAGGAGGGCAGTCATTCCTTCCTGAGTATTTATTGAGCTCCCACGATGCGCCTTACACTTTCCTAGATCCTGAATGTTATGATAAATAGGATACACAAGACCCCAGCTCTCACTGATGGTGTATTAAAGTCGAGGAGGCAGCATATGCTTAATCAAAAACTAGGATAACTCTAGCTGCAGTATATGAAAGGAAGGAAATGAAACAGGGTGATGGGGCTACTTAGGCAGGGTAATCAGGGTAGGCTTCTCTGAGGAGGCGGCATTGCAGCTGAGCTATGAAGGATGTGAGGATTCCTTTTGAATCACAGTCTGCCCCTCCTGGAACTACCTGCTTGGAGACTTCTCCTTCTGCCAGGGGCATACTCATGTGTTCCAAAGTGTGGGTGTGCCCTTTAGACCCTCAGTCTTTCCCAGACAAGTGTCCCCAGTTTTTTCGGCTGTTGCTCATGTGACCCAATTTAGCTCTGCTCAGAATCCCGCTCAATCAATTCTGGATATTCACATATAATGTGTATCATAGAACGAAACACTGTGTGCTACCAGCACGAAAGGACTATATTATGTCCTTTGTACTGGATGCTGCATTCTTATTCATTCGGCCAAAGTACTACGACCTTTTTTTCTTTTCTTTTTTTCTATCAGGCACATCACATTGTTTTCTTAATTGAGCTTGCAGTCAAATAAATCACCCAAGTCCTTTATTCATCTTGTAACTTACGCCATGGAACTTTGGCAAGTAAATGCAGAGGCTTACATTTATTTGTATGAAATTCAATTTCCTTAGTTCTGACCTAAGTCTTCAAGCCAGTCTGGATATTTTTGTTTTCTGGTTCTGTCGATATCTTTTCATTCCTTCTGCAACTTACCAGGGAGGCTAAGCGAGCAGCCGGGTGAGAGATGATGGCGTTTGGTGTGTGGTGGTAGGAATGGGATCAGAAAGACAGGGGTGGATTCAGGGTGTATTTGGAGGTCGGGCTGATGGATTGAGGTAGGAAGGAAAAGAGAGGACAAACGTAATTCCTGAGTGTGGGGCCCGAAATGGGACCAATATAGTACCCACTAAGTGAAATAGTAAGAGTGTTATGGACTGAATGTTTATGTCCCCCCAAAATTCATGTGTTAAAACCACATCCCCCAATGTGGTGGTTTAGAGGTGCGGTCTTTAGGTCTCGGAAGGAGGAACGCACGAGGCCAGAGTGGTGAGGGATTACGAATTTATTTGATCATCCGCATAGCAGGTGGCGGAGCCTGGATGGCTCCAGTACCTAGTGATGGGAGTCAGCAGCTTTTAAAGGACTTTTGGCGGGCTTTTTTCTGGGCGGAGACTTCTTCATGCTTACCCGGAGGGGAGATAATGGAATGTGGTCACAGCAAGTGAAATGTGGTCTCAGCAAAGGGAATGTCCATAGTGAAATGATCTGAAAAGCCAGTTCCTGGGGGAGGGGTATCAATTCAATTATTTGATCAGACCTAACAAAATAGATAAGAGTGTTATGGACTGAATGCTTGTGTCCAAAAAAAAAATTCATGTGTTAAAACCCCATCCCCAAAGTGGTGGTTTAGAGGTGAGGCCTTTGGGAGGCGATGAAGGTGGAGCCTCCTGATGAGATGAATGCTCATGAGAGTCTCGAGAGAGCTTGCTTCCTCTCTCTGCTCTCGCCAGGTGAGGATACAGGTCAGCAGTCTGCAACCCAGAAGAGGGCTCACCCCAGAAACCGGCCTTGCTGGAACCTGATCTAGGACTTCCGGCCTCTGGCTGTGAGGACAGGAATGTCTGTTTATAAACCACCCAGCGCAGGCACTTCGTCATGTCAGCCTGAACTAAGAGATTGGGCCGGGGTCATACATGTGAGAAAGACATTGTTTCACCGAGTGGGATTATAGTAATATTTTTCTTCTTCCTATAGTTTGTATTTCCAAAGTTTTAAACAATGTTATTGGGGGCCAGGAAGACTGTGAAGGCGAGTTCTGATTACGGAATTCAGAACAAGACCCATAGGATGAGGCACAGCAGCGCTGTTTACACGTAGAATTGTCCAGGCATCTTCTTTTCAAACCAGACTATAGAAACCAGATCTGTATTCCTTGCAAAAGCAGAGACTCAGAGGTGACCCTATTGAGCTACACAAATTTCTGATGGGAATAGAGATGAAAAATGTTCCCAGCCACTTGCAGCTTTTATCGAATACAAGGACCAGAGGGCATGATCCGAGCTAAGGAGGGACTGAGCCCGAGGAGTTATGGATGAGTGTGCTAACCTGGGAGCAGTTAATCCGTGGAATATAGTACTTATCGAAGGTAGCAATAAAGTAGCCTAAATGCTTTTAAAATAGATTTGGTACTTAGAAAACAAAGAGCTGGGACACAGGCATCATTTTTACTGCCAGCTTCTAGCCTTTGGTTTTCTGTAGGACCTTTGCCTATCATCGTAGAATCTTAGTATATTAAAGGGAAGGGACTTCAGAGATCCATCTCGGGCAGGGGTTTTAACTAGGGATGCACACCAGAATCATCTGGAAAGTGTTTTATTTTTCTCCCCCCCAATACTTGTTGATGCCAGGGCTTTACTGCCTTGGATCTTGCTGTTGGGTACATTGTTTTGGCCAAGTTTCCCAGGTCATTTGAGGCATACTGCCCATCAAGACTCTGCTCTGGGGTAACCCCCTCATTAGACAGATAAAGAAATGAATCTTGGAGAGATTAAGAGATTTGTTCAGAGCTCACAGAGAAGCACCGAAGTTGCCCTGGGAGTCAGCTTCCCTCCGTGGAGAATAGATAATAGCACGAGACCATTTAATCCCTTTATGCCACGTTTCAGAGACTAAACATCAAACAATAAGATACAGTCATCAGTGTAGATTTTTTTTTTTTAATGTGGGATGCTCCATGAATTTGCACAGGGGCCATGCTAATCTTCTCTGTATCGTTCCGATTTTAGTATACGTGCTGCCGAAGTGAGCACATAAGTGTAGATCTTAAAAGCATAGCGTTGAGTGAAAAAGTAAGAAACAGGATGAATTTCTATAAATTAGATTCATTTGCATAAATTCAAACAACACAATTATATATTTTACAAACCTACGTACATAATTAGGGACCGACAGCAAACACATTAGCGTGCACGGGGTGGGAGAGGCTCCTAGGGATGAAGAAATGAGCAAAACCTGAGAGAGGGGAACATGTTGACTGATGACAAGAGTGTGCTATGAATTGAGTAGAAATTTCTCAAATCTCTGCACTCAAAGTATTGAAAAAATAAGCCTATACTCAACAGATGACTGGGTAAACAAAATGTGGCATATGCATTTAATGAATATTCTTCAGCCATAAAAAGAGCCGAGATTCTGATACATGCTGCAACATGGATGACCCTTAAAGACGAGATGCCAAGTGAACTGAGCCAGACACAGAAGGACAAATGTTCTAGGATTCCACTTATCCGAGACATTGGAAATAAGCACGTTCATAGAGATAGAAAGTAGAACAGAGGCTTCTAGGGGCTCTGCGAGGAGAAATGAAGAGTTTTCACTTAATGATTATAGAGTTTCTGTCTGGAGAGATGAAATAGTTTTGAAAATAGACAGTGGTGATGGTTGGACAATATTTTGAATGTAATCAATGCCACTGAACTGTACACTTAAAAATGGCAAATTTTATGATATATATTTTGCCACAATTAAAAAATTTAAAAAAATGAGTTTTGGGCTTGTTCAATTGTATAATTAAAGTCAGAGAATTAGGGGAGATTGCAAACTTGCATAATGTGGGCAAGTATAATGATAAAACTTGTAAATAAGTTCAATGTAATATGTTGTAAATCATTGAGTTGTGCACTTTGAATGGGTAAATTATATGATATGTGAACGATACTCCAATAATTTAAAAATTGTTAAAAATTTTACAGACAAAAATTTCCCTTGCTATTAAGTCTTTCTGTGGGAAAATGGAGGTGCTTAGGAGGCAGGGAAATAACATTTATTCAGCTGGGTACTGTGGTAGGTGTAGCCATTGCATTCTCTTCTCTAACGACTATACATGTTCAGGGTAAGGCTCTGTGGGGAGCCTTTGGGCATCTTGACATGTTTCTGGCAGTGAAAAGATTTGACAAGGCCTGGGAACTGGGAATTTGTTATATAAACAGTGGCCATCATTAAGTACTTTAATTTGGTGTCTAGTTGGCACAGGACATGGTTGTCCATGCTGTTTGGACAAAAGTGTGAACAGGTTGCCTTCCTTGTCTTGGCAGGCAGGGACGTTGGCATGAGGGCAGTCTGTAGTGCATAAACGATCTGAGTTTTATGCAACAAGGGTATTTGAAAAATGCAGCTGGGAAGGCACGGATACTTGAAGAGTCATTCACTCATTATGCAGAAAATTTCGGAAGACCCCACGTTTCTTACATGTTGCCCATTTCCTTCATTCAGTCCTGGGAAGCAAGTCGAGAAGAGAACTGTCAATCCCTCAGACCTCTAGTCTCTGGAGAAGGGAAGACAGTTGCTAACTTTTTTTTTTTAATTGGCAAGAAAAGTTAGAGTCCTTTCAGCTTTGAAAATAAGTTTTGATTTGTATAGGTTAAGATCAGTTCCTACTTCATTTAAAGTCTTGTCACCCAATCTTAATTATATCCATATGTCTCACAGAGGCCCGTCTTCTCGTCTTGTGGAATTATCATTCCGGCCGAAAGTGTGGGCGAGCCTGCCATTCCCCCCCGACTGACAAAAGAAGGAGCATCTGTCTTGTTGCCTTGCCCAGCGATAAGCTAGTGGCCCAGCCACTACCGGTCATTTGCATGCAGAGTGGACCATTTCATTACAAATTTCATTAAGATGGTAATGTTTAATGTTTCCTGGGAAAAATGAGTTTTGGGCTTGTTCAATTATATAATTAAAGTCAGAGAATTAGGGGAGATTGCAAACTGCTTGCATAATGTGGGCAAGTATAATGATAAAACTTGTAAATAAGTTCAAAAGACTCGAGCTCTGCATGCATCCCGAGGTTGAATCAGCTCAGGAGGGAGGGCGTGTAGAAAAGGGGGCTGAGACGGTCAGCCACTGGAGTTTAACTCTGATGTCTGCTGGCCGAGCTCCTTGCTCTCCGGGCCACTCAGGGAGATAGGTGACAGAAGAGAGCGCTGGGCACTGGCTGGTCAGGTTCTGGAAAGTTCCAGGAACACACTTCTGCACTTTTTAAAATAGACAGCAACTTCCTATATAGGAATGAGAAAACAATGGCATAGACTTTATAAGATTGCTACCTGGCGGCCAGGGTGCTCTAACAGCGACCCTACCCGTATCCTCCTGCATTTCTTCCCACCAATAAAACAGGGAGTCATACTATTTTGAAAGAATTAAGAAAGCTGTTTCTTGCTCTTCCAGTCTTTTCCCTTATTTTTCTTTAAGGAAGGAACAGTGACTTAGTGGTTTAGTGAGGTCAAGCTAATGTTCCTGAAACACTGGGGAGGTGGGACAATTGAATACTGCAGTACCACGTATGATTTATGTGTGAATATTGAACATCCCTGTTCCTTAAGAATATTCCTGGGCAACGTGTGCCCACAGCGGTTCCAGCCCCCTCTCCCTCTCCCTGTCCTCTCCACTCCTCCAACACTGAAAAGAATTCCTTTCACTTTATTGTGGCTCTGAGTTTCCCCTGCATAACCAAAGGCCCAGAAACTGTGCTCTTTCTCCCATTGCCACATCCCTCAAGGCCCATGTGAGGACCATGGGCTGGTGCAATCTCTGTGAGCTTGGAAATAAGTGAAAACACTTAAGAAAAAGTCGTATCCCTTGCTCTTATCCTTTCAAAAGGTGAGTCTTGGATTTCAAGTGTGTAGACTCTTACTTTGTGCCTAGGATTGGGCAGGATGATACTCAGGCAATAATGTGACGTGGCAACAGACAAGGATGATGGCAGGGAAATGGATGGAGAAGAAGCAATGACTTGAGAGAGTGAGGAAAGAAGTGATGGAATTTGATCTTCTTTTCTTTATTGGTGTAATTTACTAGAGTCCCATAATTATACTTAATTTTAAAAAATTTATCTTGATTGTTGAAAATATTACAGATGTCCCTTTCGTGTTTTTTTTCGCCATTGACCCTCTCCATCCTGCACCTGCCCCTCCCAGGCCTTCATCACACTATTGTCTGTGTCCTTGGGCTACACATATATGCATATAAATTCCCTGGTTAATCTCTCCCCCACACCTTCAACTTCCCTCTGAAATTTGTCGGTCTGTTCCATGCTTCTAGGTCTCTGGCTCTATTTTGTTCATCAGTTTATTTTGTTCATTAGATTCAACATGAGTGAGATCATGTGATACTTATTTTTCTCTAACTGGTTTATTTCGCTCAGTGTAATATTTTTATTAATAGTTGAAGTGGCAATATCTTCATCGATACAGCTCCTAGGGCAATGAAAACTAAAGAGAAAATAAACCAATGGGATTACATCAAAATAAAAAGCTTCTGCACAGCAAAAGAAACCATCAACAAAACAATAAGAAAGCCCACTGCATGGGAGAACATATTTGCCAATGTTATCTCCAATAAGGGTTTAATTTCCAACATTTACAGGGAACTCATACAACTTAACAAAAGAAAGATAAACAACCCAATCAAAAAATGGGCAACGGACCTAAATAGATACTTTTCGAAAGAGGACATAAGGAAGGCCAAGAGACATATGAAAACATGCTCAAAGTCACTAATCATCCAAGAGATGCAAATCAAAACAACAATGAGATACCATCTCACACCTGTCAGAATGGCTATCATCAACAAATCAACAAAGTGCTGGTGAGGATGTGGAGAAAAAGGAACCCTCATGCCCTGCTGGTGGGAATGCAGATTGGTGCAGCCACTATGGAAGACAGTATGGCATTTCCTCAAAAAATTAAAAATGGAACTCCCATTTGACCCAGTAATCCCATTTTAGGACTATATCCCAAGAAACCAGAAACACCAATCAGAAAGGATATATGCACCCCTATGTTCATAGCAGCACAATTTACAATAGCTAAGATTTGGAAACAGCCTAAGTGCCCAACAGCAGATGAGTGTATTAAAAACCTGTGGTACATCTACACAATGGAATACTACACTGCTATAAAAAGGAAGGAACTCCTACCATTTGCAACAGCATGGATGGACCTGGAGAGCATTATGCTAAGCAAAATAAGTCAGTCAGAGAAAGATAAATATCATATGATCTCACTCATTTGTGGAATATAATGAACAACATAAACTGATGAACAAAAACAGATCCAGAGACAGAGAAGCATTAATCAGATGCTCAAACCTCAGAGAGAAGGTAGGGGAGGGTGGGGGTTAGGGGGAGAGATCAACTAAAGGACTTGTATGCATGCATATAAGCCTAACCAATGGACACAGACACCATGGGGGTGAGGGCATGAGCGGTATGTGTGTGTGTGTGTGGGGGGGGCAATCGGGGGGGAATAAGGACACATATGTAATACCTTAATAAAGAAAGAAAAAAATAGTTGAAGTGGATGTTATCGACAGTTATCAACATGGGGTTAATTGAAGTTAGCTCTCAACAAGGGACTAATAAGTGAGTCACAGAATTAGAAACACAAAGAATATTTTCCTGAAGAACTGACACCGGTAGAGAAGCCTACATAACAATTCAGGCCAATATGCTGTTTTTGCTGTTTGATGCTACTAATGATATAGTGGAGAAAGCATTCTCATCACAGAGTCAGAGGAATAGAATGTTAGAATTTGAAGATTCTTTGATGCTATGTTCTAGTTCAGAGGATGGCATATTTTTTCTGTAAAAAAACAACAGATAGTAAATATTTTAAGCAGGCCCCAGGGCTTTTGTGGTAAGTATTCAACTCTGCCCTGGTGGTGGGAAAGCGGTCACAGGCAATTTGTAAATGAATGGACATGGCTCTGTTCCAAGAGAGTCTCATTTACAGAAATAGCATCTGGATTTAGCCCA